AAGCTAATTTAATACTTATATATGTAAAATATCAAGTTAATTAGAACTAATTAATAAAAATAAAAGTATTAAAATAGAAAATAATAATATATTGTATTTTAATTTACTTATTTATAATTATTAAATATTTAATCTATAAAAATTTCTATTAATATAAATTATTTATTTTTAAAAAATCTGAAGGGTTATTGTTATTATTTAAAAAAATAGCTATTTAATTTCTTTTAAATTGTTTTTTTTTTTTTTTTTATAAACAAAATTAATTACTATATAATCTAAAATTTGTTTATTTTTTTTTCAATTTTATAAAAAGTATTAATAATTTAAACTATCTATTTTTCTTAAAAAGAAAGCCCTCTTTTTTACAAAAAAATAAATAAGTAAAAATATCTTTATTTATTATAAAAATTTATATTTTAAATACATCATTGAAAATTTAAAATTCTAGCATTCTACTAAAAAATCAATAATTTTATCGAAAATATTTATTGCTTCATGAGACTAAATTTTAAGTTTACTACATATTTTAAATCATATGTATTTTAAAAAATTATATAAATAAATATTATACCTAAAATTCAAACTTAGTTTCTTTATTTTCTAGAAATTTTTAAAACAATCAAAATCATTTAAATTAATATTCTATTAATTAGAAAAGTTTATATTAAACTAATTAATATCCATGCATTATTTATGCTTAATATTTTTAAGTTTTTCAAAGACAGAGATATTTTAAATAATTATTTTTTTAGGTAATTTCATAAAGTTTTTATCATGAATCATTTCATTAACAAAAAATTACATATTAACCATAATATTTATGATTTTTTCATTTAAAAATACTTTTTTAATAAAATTTACACAAGTAATTACAATTCTTAATAAAAGTAAAATAAAAGAAATAAAAGTAAACCAGTTTACAGTCCAAGTTTCCATTAAAATATTATTAATAATCTAAATTATCAAAATAGGTTAACTTTTGAAAGCAAAATCACACACTTCATTTACTAAAAGTAATAATTCAAAGTTTTCTTCTTAAAATATTTAAAAAATAGAGCACTTTTTATTTATTTCGATTGCTATCAAATTATATAATTCTTAATTATTTTATATTTTTGTTTATGATTAATGGCTGATATATGAATTATAATTATTATTAATATACTTATTATTATTTGCATTAATGCTATAACTATTATTTAATATACTATGTCTGTAATTATTACATTAATTAATATTTTATAGTGTTAAATCTATTTTGTTGTTTGATTTAATATTATATTATATTTATTATGTTATTTATGGTAAAGATTAATCAATTTAATTTAGATTTTATTACTATTTTGTATTAGCTAGTTTTATAGAGTTAGTTAGATTTTTATTATCTTATTAATTTTAATTATATACTTATCTTGCTAATTCAATTAATTAAGAAAAGTAACTTTTTAAAAAAAATTATTTATAAAAAAAAAAATATATATATTTTTTTTTTCAAAATTTACGATGAAAAAATTACATTTGTTTTTTTATATATAACTAAATAAATAAAAATTGGTAAAATATTAAGGAAAGCTGATAATGTTAATTATAAAGAAAAATAGCAATGATTATAAATATTTTATGGAAAAATTAATTACTTTAATTTTATTTATTTAACTTATTTATATTTCAAATAAATATAATTTAGTGTTAAGTACCATATTATTAAATTTATAAAAAAATAAATTACAATTATGGATATGTAAAATTTTTTTATCCTATGATCTATAAAATTTTAACTTATTAAGTAAATAAAATCAAATAAATTTTAAAAAATAGCGAGTATTAATCTTATAAAAATCAATTAATATTTAGAGTTGCTTTGGAATTCTACAAGGTAATTTCTATTCATTAATTTTAAGGTATTCTTAAATACAAATATTAGTTATATTGTTCAAAAATATTAGAAAAAAAATTAATAATAATAATAATATTTTATGTTACAATTTAATATACTTTGAAATCTAAAAATATTAGAAATCTAATTAAAAATAAATATATAAATATAAATTATAAATTAAAATTTTTATTTAATAAATTTAAAGAAATTATCAAAATATATAATTATCATTTATTTTAAACTTTTTATTTATATTAAATGTGATTAAATTTTAATTATTAACTAGATTTATTTTAAAATAATAAAAAATAAAATAATATATAAATGGAAAAAGTTGATAAAAAAAATTTATAATTAAACAATAAATTTAATTTATATATAATTAAATTTTAAAAATTTTTTAAGAATTTTAATTTTAATTAAAATTAAAAAAATATATTTACAAAAAATAAGTACTTACTTTTATTATAATAACATTTTTAAGTTGAATTTATAAGAAATTTATTTATATTATAACTTATATTTGATAAATTGATATGTTATATATGCTATTTTATTGTTAAAATATATTTATGCATTTTTAAAAATATTAATATTTTAATATTGTATATTTTAATATAAATTTGATTTTTTTTATATTTTAAATGTATCTAAAAGCATAAAAATATAAATTATATACAATAAAATAAAATTATAATACAGAATGAATTACTTTGAAAAAAAATATTAAAAACTTTCAAAATATTTAATAAATGATAAATTTCGAATAATAGCAGAAGATGTAGATTTTTTATTAAATAAATATAACCCAGCTCCTTAAGAATAATACTAAAACGAAATATTAAACGAACAAACAGGTTTTTTATTATTATAAAAAAATATTATTTAAGATTAAACAAAAGGAATATTAATAAAAATGAGTATCGCAGGTTCTTGTTTAGGATTAGCATTAACTTTAAGTCTTAGAAGATATTTACCAAACTAATTTAGTTAAATATCCTTAAAAAGAATGGCTATAGACACATTATTAATTATGGGAGGTTATACATATTTTAGTAAATAAGCTACATATCAAGTACATTATAATTTAACAACAATAAGAAGAGAATTATTAAATTAATGTAATAGTGATTTTATAAAACATAAAATTGTACAAAAAAATTAATATGAATATATATTTAAAAAAAAGGAAGATATATTTAGAGACGTATTTACTTAAAAAGAATTAGAATAATGGATAAAAAAAAATGAATAAATAGCTTTATTATTTGGAATTAAAAATAATGAATAAAGTAATGAAAATTAAATATGATTAATATAAATAAAATCAAAATAAAAAAAAATATAAAATAATATAAATATATAAATATATAATAATATATATATATATATATATATATATATATATATATTTATATATTTATATTTAATTTTAATTTTTTTTACTTTTATTTCACTAATTTATATACTCTATATTTAAAATTATATTTGCAATTCCTTTTTTTCTCATATCTGTAGGAATATGATTAGGATTTTTATTTAAACCTTAAAAATCTCTTAGATTAAATTACAATTTTTTTTCTTATATTTCTTCTAAAATATATGGTTTTAAATCTATTTAAAAATCTCCTAAAAATAATTCTCTATTATCTTTTACTCTATAAAATCCTATATATACATGTTATTTTTTAAATTTTATTAAATCTTTTAATTAAAATTCCTATTGTATATTTTCCTTTAATAAATCTTCATAATATAAATTATTTGATTTTTATTTATTATTTTTACAAGTTTTTATCTATATAAAATATTGTTCTTTTTTTCCTTCTTAAGTCAATATATTAAAAAAACTAATTTTTTCAAATTATATAATAACCTTAATTTATTAATCTTTTATTTATTCTTCATTTATTTATTCAATTTCTTGATTTTTTATTTGATTTTTTTAATTATTATTTTTCTTTTTTTATTTTAATTAGTGAAATCTTAATATGCTTTCAGCCAAAATACGATGTTTTGCATAATCTTCCTCTTATTTTTTGCTTTAAATAACTGGAGGAAGATTAATCATTCGATTAGCCAAGTTTAAATTATCCATAAAAATTCTTTAAAGTTCTCTCTTTTATCCCAAAGAGTGTTTACCCACTGTTTTTCGAAAATTTTACGATGATCTAGACCCTTTAAACCCCTTTGAGTTCGTTGTTTTTGCAAAATCAGTTGATGTTTTTTTCATTTAAGTATCTATTGTTTACACTTAAGGGTCCATTTTATTCATTTATGGGTCTATTTTATTCATTTAAGAGTATGCATTTGAAGAGTCTGCTTTTTGCATTTAGGAATCTGTATTTATATTTTTATATTCAAACTTTGGCTAATTTATTTCAATAAGTTTCTTCTCTAATGTTTTATCGTTTATTATTCGACTCCTTTCTTAAGTTTTCATTTAAAATCGAGTAGCTTTTTCATGATTTATTTACGAATTAAATTCCATGTTTTGTATTTTTTGAACTTTTTCCTGGATTTTTATTGGCTTGTTTTTTATCTAAAAAAGTCTTTTTTAATGACTTTGATATTCTCGTTCTTGGTTTCTTTCTAAATAAACACGTTTTAATATGTATTTACTTCCTTTCATTTTTTATTATTACTTATTAGTATAAAAACGTTTCTTTTTTTATTTAAATAAATATCAAATCAGCTAATTATTTTTTTATATTTATTTAAAAAATATGTTAGTATAAAATAATATAAAAATTATTTCTTTTATAATAAAAAAATATTTTTATTTTGTTTTATTTATTTTTTTATTCGAAAATCTAAATATTATTTAATTAAATATCAATTTTATAAATAAATATTTGCAACCACAAATAAAGTATAAGAAAAAAGAAAAATAAAAAAAATGAATAAAAATATTCAAAGTTTAACTATGGAAATTTTAAATGAAGTATCTTTAGAAAAAATATTATAATTTAATTTTAATGAAGAATAATTAAAAAATAATTTTCAATTAGTAATAAAATTTCTGAAAAATCTTTATGAATTTGACATTTAAAAAAAAAAGAAATTGAACATTTAAAATAAGAAATTTCTTCCTAAGAATAAACAATTTAAAAAATAAAAAATGAAAGTGAAAATATAGGTACTCTATAATAATAATTTGGAATTATAAATAATTAAATTTTTTAATTAACTTAATCAAATTAAGATTTATAAAATAAATTTTAAGAATTACAAAAAGAAAATTAATAATATAAAGAAGATAATCTATAATCTTAAATATATACCCAAAAATTAAATACCAATTTATAAAATCTAACTTAAACTTAATAAAATATTTAACTAGCACTCAATCAAATGAATAATTCTGAAAATTTATTAAAAGAAAAAACTTAATAAATTTCAGAAAATAAAAAGGAATTAGGTTTTTAATTAAATATAAATTAATTTTGCAATTAAAATAATTTATTTTCTATTTTATTATTTATTTTATAGAAAATTTAAAAAAAATTATATTAATTCATGACGGAGCAATAAAGTAAATTCAAGACTAAAAATAATAAAATGGAATAATTAATAAAGATTAATAATCACATAATATTGTTTTAGATAAAATTTATTAAGATTTAATTAATATATAATTAAAATTAGATTGTTTTTAAGGAAAGTAAATTACTTTTATAAATAATATTATCATAAAATTAATTTATATAAAAAGCATTGATGAACAAGAAGATAAAAAAGAATAACTTCATTAATTTGTTGAAAAAGCAAGCCCTAAATTTTAAAATTTAGAAGATAGTTTTTATGAAATTGAGGATTAAATAAAATAAACAATCGAATAATTATAAAAAAAAATTTAAAAAAAATCTTTTTAATAATTAAATAAAGATTGCTATGCTTAAAAGAACTTAGATATAATATAAAATGATTTAACTTAATTATAAAATATTTATTAAAATATATCTGTAAAACTTAAAAATAACATAATCAAAATTATAAATATATTTCTTTATCAATAAAGGATGAAAATAAAGAAAAATTAGTATCTCATTAAAGAAAAGTTAATGAATTAAAAACAAATTTTGATGATTATACAATAAAATAATTAAAAAATAAATAAAATGATGATTAAATAATAGAAATAAAAAATTTAGATATAAATAATATTAATTTAAATTAAAAATAAACTAACAATTGTAAAGATAACAATAAAAATTATAACATTAATTAGGTAAAAAGTAATTAAGTTGAAAGATAAAAAAATTAATAAAGTAATAATAATAATAATAATAATAATAATAATAATAATAATAATAATAATAATAATAATATTGATCATAATAATAATAATAATAATATTGATCATAATAATATTAAAAATCTAAGTGTTAATTAAGATAATGACGAAAATTTAATTAAATTTAAGAAAAATATAGTTTCTTAATTTAGAAATTTTAAAGACGATTTATAAAATAAAATAAGCAAACAAGATCTAAATAAAATATTAGATGAAATAATAAAATAAAGTATTGAATAATTAGAAGAAAAATTTACAAAAAAAGAAGATACTCATTAAGCTTTATAATCCATTGAAAAAAAAGTTTATTATTTTACATAAAAAAAAAAATGTCATTTATTTAAAAAAAAGATAAACAATATGCATTAAAATGTTAAAAATTTGCAAAATATATCTAATTTAGATGAAGAAAGTGCTGTTGTAAAAAAATAAATCTGGAAATGTTTAGCATGTGACAAATCTTAAAATAATTACACTGGAAAGATAGGTTCATATAGAGTTTGGGTAATTTTTATATATTATTTTTTTATACTTAATAATTAAATAATTTTTTAAGAAAAAATTTCCTTTACCAAAAGAAATTTCTTGTGAAAGAACTAATGGAAATGTAAAGATTAAAAATATTTTATTTTAAATACAAAAATATTAATTATAAAAAAATAGTCTTCTTAAGGTTACAAAGTAATTTAAGAATAAATTAAAATAAGAGCAAAACAAAGTAACATAAAAGATAATAAATCAATGAATATTTCATATGAAAATACTTAGCACTCAAGAAACGAAGAAGTTATTAAAGATGATGAAAAAAATTTATCTTTAATATATGATTTATCAAAAACTTAAAAATTGCCTTATCTTTTGTTTAAATCATAAAAAATTAAGATTTAACAAAATAGAGCTAAATCTAATCATATTTAAAATAGTTGAAAAAAATGAATTAATTAATTAAAAAAATTATATTAAAAATTTAATGATTAATAATGTTTTATTTGTATTTTATTTTATAATAAATTTAAATAATCTAAAAAAATAATTACCATAATAAAAATTTTATTATAATTTTGATTATGTATATATATATATATATATATATATATATATATATATATATATATATATATGTATATGTATATGTATATTTTTTAATATTTTAAATTAAATTTGTTTATATTTATATTTTTTTTTTTATATATATTTATCATGAATTCTATTTAAGTTTTTATTTATAATAATATGTCTATTATTTCTAATTTATATCTTTATTAATTTATTGTATTTAATAGATATATAAATTTTTGTATATCAAAATCTTAAGTAAAAAAATATAAATAACTCTTATAAAATTTTGATGACTATAGTAAAAATTGATATATATAAATCCAAATTTAAAAATTATTATAAATATTAAAAATTATTTAAGTATTATAATATAATTGCTATATTATATAAACATTATTATAAAATATACAAAAAAATAATATATATTTACTTAATAAATGGGTCATTGTATAACTAAAAATGGTTCAAACAAGAAAAATGCATTTTAAGGATAACAAAGATAAAATTATAATAAAAATACTACAATTAATGAACAACTAATATTTAGTAACAAAAATAAAAACATTTTGACTTTTAATGTTAGAATTTCAAATATAAAAGCTAAAAATTTACCAGTTGTAAGATATGATTTACTTATATAAATATTTATTACATCTTATATATTTTGCTTTTTGTTTCATAATATATTCATTTATTTTATTTTATAAAATTAAAGCAAAATTCTAGGTTAACATTAGTTTTTGGAAATAATAATTATTTATATAAAACTGAATAAATAAATAATAATAACCCTCACGTAAAAAAATAACAAGAATATTAAAATTTATAAAAAAAATAATAAAATATAGTGGAAAATTAGCGAAGAATTTATGTATACTTGTGAAGCTGAATCTTTAAAAACTTCACATTTTAATATGGTAAGTAAAAAAGAATATATTAATATTATAAAAAAAATATAAAAATATATTTAAATTAATAAAAAAAATATAAAAATAATAAATATATATATAAATATTTAAATATATAAATAAATAAGTATATTTAAGATGATTCAGGAAGTTTAGTTTCTTAAATATCTTTAACCTTATTTGATATATGTACTGGCCCAATTCATAACGATATGTTTTTATAAACAAAAGAAGTATAGAAAAAATACATAAAATAAAAACTATATAATTTATAGTAAGTAGATAATGGAAGAATAACATTTGATATAAAAATGGCACAAATGATTAACATGAAAATATCTTGTAAATCTTTAAATATGATTTTGGATGAAAATTTAAGTGAAAAAGCTTATAATTTTTCTATGTAAATAAAAGTAAAAAAAAAAAAAAAATTCTCATTAAATAATAAATAAAAAGTCTCACAATTTTGATTATTAAAGTGAACATTCATCAAATTTCTTTAATCCAGGATATGCGTTTTCATCTAAACACACATAATTAGCTTGTACTGACGAATAAGAATTAAATTAAGCTTAATATGAAAATTTTGATTATAATTTTATATAAGAATTTACAAGAAAAAATTATATTCCAAAATCATTTGTAGTTAAAAAGAAGCCGAAAAAAATGAACGAGACCCCAAAAAACAAAGAAATTCCTAAATAGAGAGAAAATAATATTTTAATTGATAAGTTAAAAGCAATATAAAGCGGAGACTCCTTTAAATACAAGAAAGGAATAGTAACTTCAAAAAGTAGATTTACAAGCTGTGTAATTAAAAGTGGAGGGCTTGATTATAAATAAATTATATAAGAAAATACTCCTTCATTTTAACACTAATAATAATTTTAAGCTTCCACTTTTGAATAGTTATAAGGTTATAAAGAGCTCAAATGGGAATTTCGAGATCAACATGATTAAGAGACACCTCATATTAATTTACAAATTTATGCTGATGAATTCGCTTCTTCTACTTTTTAAATGATTCTTTGGGCTAATCAAAATCCTGAAATTGAATAAACAATAAAAGATTAAAGTATTTATTATATCAAAAAACAATAAAAAAAAATAATAAAAAAAAAAATAGTTACTACTTAAGTATAACCAACATTAAGTATGAAAAAAATAATTAAGCATCAAGTTAATAGTAAAGAAATATATTTGGACCATAAATTAATAGGTCATGGATATGTATAAATGATAAAGTTCTTATCAGAAGACGTAGGTATTAAAATAGAATAGGAATAATTTATAATCTGTGAAATTAATATTAATAAAAGTAAATTATGGAATTAAGGATGCTAAGTAGGCATTTGGAAAGGCGAATTTATTGTTTCTCATTAGCCTTTTTTGAAATAATTAATTGCAGGAGTAAGAACTGAGGAAGGAATAGTAAAAGCAAGTTCCTTATATATAAAAAAGTAGAATTTAAATTAAAAAACAACTCTTCCAAGAGAAGTAAATTATTACTTATTTTTTGATTTTATTTTTTCGTTTATTTTTTTTAAGTTTAAAAACTTAATGAATAAAAAAATAGCACTGGAAGAATCTGTTTTTAAACTTTATGATACCAATTTAACTTATAGAGATAGATAAAATATTAATAATGATATTAGAATGCATTTGAGTAGAATTATTGAATGTTTACATATTCACACTTTATAGGTAAAGAATTCAAATTTTTATATATTCTAAAAATAAATAAATAATAATATTTTAATAATTTAAAAAGGGTAGTTAATACCTTTATAGTAATGAAGAAGAGCTTATAAGGGTTTAGGATCTTTTAATTAATTTGGCATAACATTTACTTGAATATGCAGATTAAGTAGATGAATCTTTAAGAGAACTTTATTATGAAGCGCTAATTTTGATAAATAATAGGGAAGAACTGGACTTAAGTTATATTGGCTTTTAACAAGAATAAATGGAATAATATATCAAATCAGGAAAGACATTACCTAATGTAAAAAATTTGGAAGTTTAAGCAATAGAAAAATAACCTTTGTTAAAAAAAATAAAGATTTGTTTAACTTATGAAAGCTATTTAATAGAAACATTAGAAAATGTACTTATTAAATTAGATTAAAAAGGTGGGAATGAAAAAGAAAGGTAATTTATTGAAAATTTCTGTGCTTTAGCTTTCTTTAGAATTCCTTAATTTAAAGTACATTTTAAATTTTCCTTATATACATATATTACTTTTTAAAATGATGTTTTTTTTTTTCACTAAACTCAATCATTAAATAAAAGGTTAAATTCCATTTTTTCAAATCTTTTTCTTTTTATTTTCAATTTAATTTTTTTAAAAAAATAAATATTAATGTTTAAAAATAATATTTTATTGTTTTATAATTTTATTTTTTTAATTTAAGAAAAAATTTCTTGAATGCCTTGAAAATGAATAAGGAAAAGAAAAAAATCCATAAATTGATGAATGGTTTGATAATATTTCTAGTATTAATTTGAATGGTAAAACTAGTTTCTTAGCCAGTCTTTTTTCTTGGGAATAAAACTATTATTAATATTTAGAAAGTTAAACTAAACATAAAGAACATCAAGATAAATTAATACAAGTACTTGAAAATAAAAATTGGTAAAAAAGAATTTATAAAGCAGGAGTTGCCTATTTTAGTTTCCTAGCTGAATGGTGTAGGTATATTAATAAATAATTTGCTAATAAAGATTAAATTCTTTGGTATATAATTCCCGGTTATTATAATTTAGTTAAAGTTTTCTTAATTAAAATGCGGAAAATTGAAACCAAACTTTTCCCTGAAAATTTAAAAGATACATCACTGATTTTACTTTATAATGAATAAAATTTAAACATTTATATTACTATTATGTATAATAAAACAAAGTAATTTTTATATTTAAAACATAATTATTTTAATTTATTCTTTAATAAGTGCTTACGATGGTATTAATGTTTTTTATTCTTTTGATTTAATAAAATAATGGTTTCAAACAATAAAAGAAAACGGAAAGAAAATTCCTACGAATTTCGATTATGATTTCTTTTTTAAAGGTATAAAGATTACTTTGTAAGGAGAAAACTTTGTTTGTATTTCTAAAGTTTTATAACTTTTATATTATTGCTATGAACTTTTACCTTGTAAAATATATAATAAATATATATTTTTTTAACTTTTTTATTAAAGGGTTATAAAAAAGGCAATTATAAAAAATCATTTTCACAAATATGTTCTTTAAATTATTTATGCACTGGTCTAGAAATGTTAGATATTTATTCCATTGCTTTTTAATTTATAAAATTTACCATATACATCATACATATAGAGGAAATAACAAACTTTTGTAAGAATATATATTTAAAAAAAAGACTTATAAATAATTAAATAAAAAAGAACAATTCAAAAAGAATTACTAAAGTTAAACTAAAATGTTTACTAAGAAAAAAAAGAAGACAAAATACATATTCTAGTAAAAAAAAATACTAATAAAATAAAACATATTAACAAAAAATAAAATAGAATGAATACATATATGAAGATTATTAAAGAATGATAGCAATATTAGAAGAAGCTAAAAGAAGAATAATTAAATTTTAAAAACAAAACGAAATACAAAAGTTAATAATGCAGAAACCAAAAATATCAAAACTTAAATTAATACATAAAAAGCGAAAATAATAAAAACTAAAACAAAGTTTTTTATAAGCAGAAAGTTTAGAAGATAATAATTAGCTGTTAGAATCTTTAAATTTATCAATAATATCAAGATAATAATCAATAGCATCATTAAATTATGTAAATAAAATGGAATCCTAAATGCAAGCATCAAATAAAGAAATAAACTTGGATTAAATTTAGAAAGAAGAAAATAATTTTTTAAATTAGTCAGAAAGCGATATAAAAAGTATTTCGAGTATCGAGAGTATATTGAATGAAATAAATGATAATTTAGATGAAAAAGAATAAAATAAAAAAAAAAATATAGTAAAGAAAAGATAAAAATAGAGAAGAAAATCTGAAGTTTTAGCTTAAACTTAATAATAAACATAAAGTAATTGTGAATACAAAATACCAAGTGCTATAAATTTTTTAAATGTTGACAATAAATAATAATATCTATCAAAGTTAAATTCTCCTGCTAAAAATTTAGAGAAGTTATTATAAAGTGAATTAAATAAAAAATAAAAACAGTTCTTTAAAAAAGAAATAAATATAAAAAGCATAAGAAAAATCCACGTACCTGGACAAAACTAAAATAATAAAGGGATAAAAATATACAGAAGATATAAGGATGAAAATGAAGGTTAAGAGAAGTTAAGAATCCCAAAAAGTTGTTTGAAATATCTTATTGAATCTTGGGAAGATTTTGATGAAATTAGAAAAAAATATAATTAATGGATTGGTGAATGGCTTGATATTTATTAAAAAGATGAAAATTTAAATGATGACGAGATCATTTAAAAAATTATTAATTTAAATACTCCTGATATGCATGTCACTGTTCCTTAAGATGAATCAGATTTTTAAAATGAATTTAAAATTAATTTTGATAATGAGTGGTGATATATTATATTATTTATAAAATAAATGTCTTTATCAATATGTTATAAATATATTTTTTATAGTATTTTATTATGTATTATTTCAAAGACTTTTTTTTTTTAAGGATTTATATATTTTAACTTTTTGAGAAAAATACTTGTATCTTTTTTTAATTGATAAACATTATTAATAATTAAGTTTAGTTTAATTTTTTTTTTTATAATATAAAGGTTTATAACATTAAGTTATATTTAAACTAAAAATATATATTTAATATAATTATTTATAAGTTTATATATATAATGAGTTTTTTAAAAATTTAACTAAAAAACATTTGAATATAAAAGAAACTATATAACAAAACGATATTCTTTTATTTTGTTTGAAAAATTAAAACAAAATAAGAGATAATCCACAATACAAATAAAAAATTAAATAATAAACCTAAATTGATAATAAATTAAATAACAAAATAAGAAAATCAATAATTATAAAAGCAAAATAAAGAAAATATTAAAATAATAGTAATATTCTTAATAAAAAATAAGTAAATTTTAATTATCTCATTCATTTCCTTCTTGATCTTAAAATTCAGAAATAGAAGTTGAATAATAAGTGAATAAATATAAAAAAAATAGTGTAGTTTTTCAGATTAATAAAAACTAGTTTGTAAAAAGAAATGAACATAAGTGTTAGAAAAAAGTTGTATATTAAAATAATTTAAAAATAAATTTAGTAATATCAAAATAAATATTTAATAAATAAATTAATATATTAAATTAGCTTTCAGAATATGATGAAGAAAATTTTCAAGGAAACACCATTTTTCAATGATAAAAAGTTAAATTTTAATGGCCTTCAAATATCTATATTTTAATTTAATAAATAATAATATTAATAAAAATATTTAAAATATAAATAAAGATCATATATAAAAATTTATATTAATAACAATAGTTTATAATTCAGCACAAGTTTAAATAAAAACATAATTAATTTTTTCAATATAATTTAAAAGAATAAACTCATTAAAATAATACATTAAAAATTTTAAAAAAGTATAAATAATAATGATTTTTTATTGAAAATCATATAGATTATAATAATTCTTTTATTCATTTTAAATAAAGGAAAAATATTAAAATCCTTTAAAATAAAATACCCTTTTTCCTCCTTAACCAAAATAAAAAATTATATATCAAGATAGGTGCCTTTCAACACTAGCTTAGATTCGCCATAATGCTTTTCTAATAAAAAGAAAAAAAAAAATTACATTATTTTAGAGAAGAGGTGCTATTATGATGTAGAAATAACAACAATTGTTAAGTATTGTAATAAAGTAATAAAAAAATGGATTTAATAGTAATCTTAATTAATAATGATAGTCTTAGTAATAAAAAATAAATAATATAATTGAATAATTATAAAAAATTGTTTACTTAATTATAATTGGGATAATTTTTAGATAATAAAGGAAGCAAAAATTATGATTAATAAAATAATGAATTAAGGATTTTTAATTATAATAAGAATAAAACAATAATTAAAATAATAATAAATAAGATATAGATTAAAATTTATTGGAAAATAAAATAATGTAAATTTAATATTTTTATGCATCAAAAAAATAAGCTTTTTTTTTTTCTAAATAATAAAACTATAATGCTTTTTTAAATTTTTATGAAGTAATTAAAAATAAAAATGATAATGAATGAAGTAAAATCTTAACCAAAAATTATGAAAATTAAAAACAAATCTTATTTTAGTTTTTATTAATATATGTTTTATTTATAAAAAAAAAAAAAAGTAAAATTTTAATACTTCAGATTCTATTATAAAATTTTATTATATATCCAAATATATATATTAAAAATATATTTATAAAGTACTATTTCTAAAATTAATAAAAATTAATTTTACTAAAATAAAAAATTAACAAACAAACAAAAATAATAAAAAGATAATATCAAATAGAAGAAGGCAATGTAAGTGGCATTCCTGATCTTATAGCTTTAACATAATAAAATAAAAAATCTCCTGTAAGTAATATTTGTACAATTTGTACACCTAAAACAAGATATCCAACATAATTAGGAGCAAATGAGGTAGTATATTTATCAGTATTAAGTTCAGTGTAAGTTTAGATCCAAAAGATAAACTACATAATTCTCGATAAAGATAATGAAGCGACAAAATGTGAAGTATAATTTTCAATTTCTCCTCCTTTTTTTCTAAAAACATCCAATTAAGGAAACATAGCTACACTTTCTAAATACAAGGCAAAAGTCCAGCAGACATCAGCATAAAATTTAGAATTTAAATTAGGATGGAATAAAATAGCCAAAACAAATGTAGGAATAGCAAATAAAAACCATTAAAATGTATCAACATCCCAATTATATGAAAAACTGTATTTAACATAACTTAAATATAAAAGTATTACAGAAAAAATGAAAGTAGCAGTCTCACTTATTCTATAAATTACATCTCCAGTAGAATCATAAGGTAAATAACCATCATTAGTTAAAATGGCTAATAATCTAAAAAATAATAATAAAGAATAACATACTAATGAATTTCTTGATAAACCATTTATAGATTTGCTTTATATCACTTTGTATACTAAAAGTAAGAAACCGAATGCTTATACAAAAGAACTTAAAGTTAATAAGAAAGAAAAATCACCGCTGCTAAAAAATTTAAATACTAATATTACTGTCATCATGAAACCAAACCATTATATTATATCTTTCTATTTTTTTTAAGATTTTGGTTTAAATATTATTTTTTTTTACTTTGTGCTTTTTAGTATAGTTAGATAATTTTGAAGGATCTTTAAACACATCTGATAATTTAATAGGATCGAAATCGTGATCAAACATTTTTTTATTGTTTTTTTTTTAAGGTATATATTATTTCTTTCTTTTAATTATATTTATATATGAATAAATTTTTTTGTAAGGATATTTTTAATTAAATAAATAATTTTATAATTTTTTTTTATTTTATTTTTTATTTTATTTATACATGTGTGCTTTTATATTTCATAATAATTATAAAAATATACAATATAATGAAGCATAAATTATTTTATATAAAAATATATTTAGTTTTATTTTATTATTAAAAAAATATAAAATAATTAATAAATATAAAATGTAAAGAGTAAAAAAATAAAATAGTAAATCTAGCTATTACCTTTTTAATAGAGTATTCATTTTAATATAAAATAAAGAATAAGATAAAATAAGAATATATAAAATAAATAAGCAATTCTTAATATATTAAAAACCAAAAAATCGATTATAATTATAAATTTTTATAATAAGTATATGAAAAAATAAATATATAAAAGTAAAATGATTAAATCAATAAATAATAAAAATATAATTGCGATATAAATATTATTATTTTTTAAAAAAATATTTTTATCTTTATGTTAATAAAAGTTTTTAAATAAATATATAAAAATATTTTAAATATTTATTTAATAAAAAACTAAATTAAAAAATACTGAAATTTTTAAATTATTATAATTGCATAAAAAAATCTTATTTAAACTTTAAATATAAATATGACTAATCTAAATTTAAATTTAGTAACTAAAAATAAAATTGTTTAATAATTATTTTTTAATTTTAGAATTAAAAGAATTAACATTAAATGTATAATATTACTAATATTTAATATAAATTTTATTTTAAATTTTTTTTTACATATTTTCATATTAATATATTAAATTTAAAACAAAATAATAAAATTCATATATATAAAAAAAGTTAATTAGTAGTATTAAATTCTTATATAATTTATATAATATTTTTTCTATAGTATATTGTTTCTATATTTACTATTAATTAAAGAATCTAGAGTAAAAAATATTCAATATAAAAATATATAATATAGCTTTCAAATATAAAAACTTTCTCCACATCCACATGCACCCTATAAATTAATATATTAACAATACAATTTATTAAAATTTATATATTTTAAAATAAAAATGTAATATTTTAGGCAATTACTTTTTAATTAGGATTATTAAAAATAAATTCTGCTCTTAAATCATCTTCTAACCAATCCATTTCTGTTCCCACTAAAGCCATTAAAGCTTTATTATCTATAATAACAGTTACACCTATAAATAAATGAAAAATATAGATAAATATATAAAAATAAATATTAATTATTATATTTAGGAGTTTGAAATAAATAATTAATATTTTTAGTAATAAATTCTTATTTTAGTTTTTTTAAAATAATTGTATATATATATATTATATACCTTTATCATATATAACTTCGTCGAATTTATTTTCTTTTTTATTATCACAATAATTCATTGTATAACTCAAACCACTGCATCCTCTTTTTTTAATTCCAATTTTAACAGCAAGATAATTTTAGTCTTAGCTTTTTGAAATTAATTCTTTTATTTTTTCTGCTGCTCTATCAGTCTATATTTTAATTTTTAAAAGATAAATTATGATTATATTTATAATTTTTTATTTCAAATATTAAAAAGTTACCAATGTTATAAAGGCTTTTTTTTATTTTGGTTATATTGTCTTTTTTAAATCTTAACAAAAGTTACAATTTTATAGATATATAAAATTTTTATTTAACTATATTGATTTTTTGATGAACAAAGGTATCATAATTAAAATTTATTTGATTTTATATTTCTATGTAATTTTTATTATATTTTATATTTAATTTTAAAGCCTTTTTAAAATATTTTTGTAATATTATTTTCTTAAATAGTAATGTAGAAAAGAAATTTCTCAAAAAATTTATTATTAAATTTATTATTATTTATTCAAATAGATTTATATGATGAAATATTATTTCTTTTAAATTTTATTAAATTAAAAAATATTTATAAATATAAATGCTTAATCAAAAATTTTTAAAGAATAATATTTTAAAATATATTCTATCTTGAATAAATAAAAAAATAAGAATATTAAAAATAATAATTTTCATAAAAGAAAATATTAATTAAAAAAATAATTATATTTAATAAATTAAATATTTGATTATATATATATTTAAAATTAATAAAAAAATATTTATGTATTTATATTTAAAAGAATATATATAAGCATATTATACTTAATAATAATGTAAAATGTTTTTGAACCATAACTTTATAGATAGTTAATGAATTATAATATATAGATATAATAAATGCTTTAATTAATAACATTTCCTATAATAGGATATTTTAATATATTAAAATTATATATTCCGTAAAAATTTACATTTTAAAATAAATAAAACAAACAATTGATTAGAAAAAAAGACGACAAACTAATATCCTTGTTAATATTTTATAATCCAATATATTTTACTATAGATTTATATTTGAAAATTTTAGATTGTAATTATGATTTATGCCTTTTAGGTTATTTAATAAATCGAATTGTTTTACTTATTTGTATACCTTATTATATAAAAAACTAAAACTATTCATGGTCGAGTTTAAATTTGTTTTTCGCATATGGATTATATTATGTTCTTCCTTAGAATTTAATAATTTGTTTTTTTTTCGATTATTATGTTTCATATTGTAATCAGAAGCGAGATTGCATTATCAAAATAAAAATAAAATTATTATGATATTTTTATGTTTTTTTTATATATTTCGCTTATGATTATATATATTTTTGAATGTGATTGATTAATAAAAAAGAATATTTATTTTTTTTAAATAAAAATAAAATCTTAATTTTAATATTAAAATTTTTTATTTTTTTTATTTACTTTTTATTTAAAATCCTTTTTATTAAATTAATATTTTAATTAGTTTTTTAATAAATGAAAGGCTTTTTTTAATTTTCAAAGTCTTTATATCATACTAATTTTAAAAATTGTATTAATTTTTACAGTACAAAATAATTTAGTTAAATATAATTTAATTGTTCAAAGAATTAATAAAAAATGATAGCATAAAAGTATTTATATTTTAAAATATATATAATAATTTAATTATTATTTAAAAATAAAGAATTTCAACAGATTTATAATAATGCATAAAATCTACATGCTAATATTAGGGTTTGAGATTTGTTGATATGATGTAATTCTCTATATATTAATAGAGTTTAGAAGAACTATTAGGTAAATATAAATTAATTTTAATATATTAATATTTTTATTTAATAAAAGCAGATTTAGATGATGAAGTTGTGTAAATTATAATACTAATTTATAAAAATGTATTTTATATACATTCATTTTATATATAAATAGATGCCAAGTCATTATATCTAAGTGGTTAAGTGATAATTGAACGAGTTTTATTATAAAAAAATAAAAAAATAGTTTAATACATAAATAGATATAAAAAAATATTTAATTTATATAAAATAATTGAATTTGTTTTTAAAATATAATAAAAAATATTTTTAAATATTATTAAAATAAATTATATTTTCAATTTATGATATATATTTAATTTTTGCTAAACAATCCGAATTATTCTTTATAAATTGAAAAAATGAAGTACATTTTCATCTATAAATCATAACGCAAATAAGATTTAGAAATTAAATTATAAAAATATTATCAAATATCTTCTTTTAAATTAATATCTTTAATCATTTTTTAGCTTTATAAAAATAAAATTGACAAAAATAATACTACGTAGTTATAATTACATATATACTTGAAAAAATAGATTTTTTATTATTTATATGATTTTAAATTTATTTTTACTATTAAATATAAAATAATTTAAAAATATTAATATACATGTGTATTCAGATATATATATATAAATAATTTTTGTTTTCAAATTTTGAAATTCACATGAAATATTAATAACTATTTTTAAAAAAATTCAACTATATGAATTGAATATACATTTATTATATTCTCCTTAAGAATTTTTTTTACCATAACCTATTCCTACTATTCCTCCAATTAGCAACATAATATTAATTAATTAGCAAACACTGTATAAAATATAACAGAATTTTACTTCTGATTTAAATTTCAAGAAAAGCAATATTAAAAATATTAAAAAATGAATATATATAATAGAAATTCCATAAATATAAGGAGCATATAATATGCATACTCCTGCACAAATTACATGGAAACCATAAAAAGGAAAGAAGAATTTATCTAAAGCTGCATAATCTATTTAATCAACTAGAGTTTATAGTTTATCATTTTAGTCTTTCTAAAAATAAATTTAATAAAAATATTTATTCATTTCTTTTAGTTTTTTTTTTTTTTATTACTTATTATTTCTTATCTTCAGGAATTAAATCACCTATATATCCCTTACCTTTTTTTTAAATTTAAGATAATTGAATATTTTTAAAAATTATAATTACTCTCCTAATATTTAAATTTCATTGTTCCTATTACTGCTAACACTATATAAATTAAATATATTAAGAATATTTCCAAAACCATCAACTTTCTAATTACTTAGATTTATTGATGATTTTAATCATAAGAAAACGCAGGTACACAAGGATTAAATTAAACCATATTTTATTTAATATTTTATTTTGATTTAATTTATTTATTATTTTATAAATAATTTTATTTTATATTTAAAAAAAAAATATTAAATTTAAAAGTTTTTTATTTATATAATTTTATTTAAAAAATGTAATAAAAACAAAAAAATTATATATATATATAATATAATATAAGATATATTAAATAAATATTTTTATAATTTAAATTTTCATTTTAATTGTTGTTATTTTATTTATTTCTACAAAATATTTTTAATTTTAAAATCATTAATTTAATTCATAAAATAAAATATAGGCTTCTTAATTTAAAATATCATTTGAATTACATTTTTTTATATTCTCATCATCACAAAAGTACCACTTTATAAAAACAAATAATTAAATAATTTCTATATATTAAAAATTTTACTTTATCTTTTCTTTTATTAAAGCTGACATAATGACCATATTCAACACCTCCAGAATGAGAAATAATACTAAATAATTTATAATTTACTTAATTTTAATTATTTTATAAAGAGCAATATCTTTTAATATCAAGTATATGAGAATAAGATATATTAGAATTGATTTTTTTTTTATAAGGAAACATTTTGAATCGTTTTAAATGTAAAACTAAAATTTGAGGAGTTTTTCCAATTCTAATCTTTTTTTAAGGTTTTGAAATTTTATTGCATTTTTCGCATTTATAATTCCCATCAATTTATTCTGCCTTAAAAAAATTTTCTAGGCACTAATCTATATTTTGTAAGTTTTTATCATCAATACTTAAACTTAAATCAAGAAAAGGATCATATGCGCAAGATACATGTTCACATTTATTACATTATACTTCTGATATAAGTTATCCGCAAAAAAGTTGATCTACAATACTAGGGTGATATTAAATATAAAAATCATATGCTGATTATGAGTCTTTAAATTCAGTTGGATATTTTTATGGCAAAACATAATTCAATTCATCTTATATTTCACCTAAAACAAATAATAAATATTCTTAGGCATCATGTTATTCTGAAGGATTAAATTTATTTTTAGAATTTTTTTTGAATTCAATAGGGTTTATATATTAAGATTATTAATTTAAATCTAAAGTTTTTTAATTAAATTATTTTAGTAAACTATTATAATCAAGGCAGAATTAAAACTTTTTTTTATATTTATATTCTGAAGAAGATTTCATATAATCTTTTTGATAAAAATATTTATTTAACTATTCTATTGAAAATAAACATTAAATACCTTTTATTAATTAAAAATATGATAATTTTAAATAAAATTAAATAATATTTACATGAATTCATATAACAATAGTTAGATGTATTTTATAAACCAATAGGCTAAATACTATATTTATATAAACTTCTATTTTAAAAATGTTATTATTATTTTTATTCAGAATCACTATTTGCATGCTAAGTAAGAGATTATGTTATTTAATTTTATTATTTTATAATTGGACCTCCTCCATATAAATTATATATAATATACATTATACTACTACTTATTAATACATAATGTTGTTATAATATAATATTTTATTTTAAATTATAATTTCCAATTAATAAACATTAATTATCAAAAGGGCCTGGACTAGGTTTATTATCTTATAAATAGGTTGTATAATCTCTAGCCCAGGTTATGCTTAGATAATAATTATCTTCTGTTAAATCTTCATTCTATTATAATTATTTTATTACAAATTCTTCGTATGCACGTCTATTTTTTAAAAATTGAATTTGCTTGTTTTTTTAATAATTATTATATTTTAATTATATTTTTTATGAACTATATATTATAAAATTTAAAATAATAAAACAAACTTATGTTTATTATTATAATTTAAAATAAATGTATTTATTTAATTAAATCATAATTATTATTTTTACGTATTATGAGAGTTTTTAATGTCACTTATATATTTATTAAGCTTTTTTATTTAAGAATTAGATAAATTAAAATCTATATTTTCCTTTTTTTTTAAAAAAAAAATTAATATAATCTTTAAATAAATAATAATATAATTTTTAGTTCTTTAGTTTTATATTGAATTTTTATAAAATTTATATAATAAAACTATGAAATTAAGTATTAAAGTTATAAATATTGATTATAGTAGTAAAACAAATATTTTAATTTTTTTAGTACATTTACTTATTATTATTCTGTTATTAAAATGCTTTTACTCGGATTCTTATTTTCGTTTACTTCAGTACTTAATTTAGTAACATTTTCAGAACTTTTTTTATATTAATTATCTTATTGAGTTTATTCAAGTACAAAATCTTATTTTTCTTCTGTTTTATATTTAGTTTAATCAATTTAGTTACTTATTTGTAAAATTTTAATTTTTCGATAATATTCACATATATATTTATCTCTTTTTTTACTTGTCCTATTATTCAATTTATTAATTACTTTTAATTTATTTTCCATTTAATTTTTATGATCTTTATTATTAAAAATGTTTATTTTTTTAAGATTAAGTTTAAATTATTTATATAAATAATTAAATTATACTACTAGTTTTCAAATTATATTTTTTGTAGTTTAATAATAGATTAATTTGTTTAAGCTTAATTATTATTTTATTATATAGGTGACTATTATTCTGGAGTTTTTGTTTTTTCATTCGATTTGTCCAATTTATCACTTTTTTATTATTATAACTTTTATAAAATAATTAAAAAGAATTATCATTATATACATCATTTTTTTATTTTTATTTTTTTAATAAATAAAAAGATAGTTATAAATTGAATTTTTTATTAAAAGAATTGTTTGAATAAATATAATATATTCTAAAATATTTATTTAATTTACTTTTTTTTTATATTTTCCAGAAGAACATTTAATTAATTTTGTAATATAGTTCATTAATTTTTTTTTTTATTGTAATTATAAAATATTAATATAAATTTATATAAAATAAAATATATATATATACTAAAAAAAAAATAGAAAATAAAAAATATTTATTTATATATTAAATAATTATTTATACATTTTAGTTTTTTTCTATTGGATTTCTTTAAATTTTATAATTTATTTTAATCATATAGAAATATTAAAAAATAAATTTATTCTACATAAATTTAATTGCTATAAGACTTATAATTTATTCTATTTAAAGTAGAAAATCTTTGTTTTTCTTTCTATAAAATATAAATCAAAGTTTTTAATTCTCCATAAATGAAATCTTAAATATTTTTTATTATTTTAAAATAAAACTATTAATTAGGACGTTAGCCCCTATAAATAAATTTGTTTGTATTGATTATTTAAAAAATTTATTATTTTATTGAATGATCAAAATCAAAACTTTAACAATAATATTATATTAATAAATAAAAATAAGTTTTTTTAAAAACTAATAAATATTAAAATTAATAATTATAAATAAATAAAAAATAAACACACAAAATAAAAATCAAAACCAAAGAAAAGAAAATAAAAACAAAACAAAAAAAACAAAAAAATTTATGAGTTCATTAGAAGTATCTCATCAAGATTCAGATACGAAACTTAATTTGATTTAAAACACAGGCTCAAAATATATATAAATAATATAAGATATAGATATGTTAATAAAGAAAGTAAATAAAATATTTAAAATAAAAATAATATAATATAGGGTAGAAACCATAGAGCAATAATGCGATTACATAAGATTTTATCTAATAATGATCCAAATATGGTCATTAATTCTAGAAATTATTTAAAACTTAGTAGAAGATATTTTAGGTGTTTCGAAAAATTGTGTCTAAAGTACTTTTTTTAGGAATAAGAATTAACTAAAACATAAATTATAAATATGGAAAAAATATGCTCAAAGTGTTCCTATATTTTATAAAAATAAGATGTAATATTATTTGGTGCTATAAATTAATTTTAAGAAAATAAAATGAATACAGTCAAACATGCAAGTACAAATAATAATACTAACAATACAAATATGTATAACACACTTAATAAAATTAATGAAGTTGATGAATCAGAAGAAGATGATGCTAACTTAAAAAAGTAATAGTCAAATTTAAGTCCTTCGAGTATTTTAAATAATTAAACAAAAGAAGATAATGAAGCTATCTTTTCTAAAAGTAATTTTTTTTTTTAAAAATTTATAAAATAAATAAATAATAAAAATTAATATAATAATAGCTCATATATTTTAATATTATTATTTATATTTTATTTTAATATATACAAAAAATAAAAATATAAATTATTTTTCATATAAAATTTTGTAAAACATATATATATATATATATATATATATATTAAAAGTTGAATTCCATATTGTCTTATTTATTCGAAACAATATTTTTTTAAATTATGTTTGGGCTTAATTGGCTAAAAAAAAAAATAAGTTTGAAGTCTATTAATAAATGATTTTTAATGCGGTATAGTGGACTAATAGATTAAAAAATTTACCTGTACATATATATATTTTTTTATTTATTAATAAATTTATTATTTTATAGAATTAAGAATTTTTAAGTATGTTTGCTTTATCATATATGGAAATAGGAAAAGTTTACTTAGAATAAGGTTCGATAAAGGAATCATTGAAACATTATGAAATAGCACTTGAAATTTTATAATAAGAATTAAACTTAAGATGTGATCATAAAGCTTAAAAGGCTTTATTAAAATAACCTAAAAAAATAAAATGTTTATTTTAGGAAAAACTTTAAAGAAATGTAAAAAAAAAAAATTATATTTAAATAATATTTATTTTTTAAAAATAAAAGATTGTAATGATAACAATATCACTATTTAATATCAGTTTTGATGAAGAATTATAAGAAAATTATTAAAATTCTATTTAAGCTATTTCTTTAGCTGAATGGCTTTGCAAGAGCTTTTTTGATTAATAACATTATGAATTATCTAATTAAGTTAATCTATATTATAAGCAATTTTTAAATAAGGTTTTTTTATTTATTGTTTTATTTAAAAATATATTTTGTATAAGTATAAAGATTATTTAAAAGAAGAAGGAGAAATATATATAATTATAGAAAGAGCTTTAGGGATATATGAAGAAAAAAGAAAATAGGAAACTTAAAAACAATAAAATTTAGATGATAATTATTTATATTATAACACTATATTTTATAACAAGATAAATAATAAAAAACTTAATGATTCTTAATTTATAGTTTAATATGAAAAAACTATTCCTTAAAACTTGAAAAATATTACGATAATGGACAATAATAGTAGCATAAAAAATAGTACAGTTACAACGAATTATACATAAAATAGTCCAAAATTTATATAAAAAAAAGTAAATAAAAGACCATCTAATACTAATAGTATTACTAATAGTTAAAGTGCAAATGGGTTTTATCCATAAGTTTCTAAAAATGACACAGCTGCCAATACTAGTCCTTCTAATTTTTATAATTAAAACATTCTCACACCAATAATGGGAAGTTCTAATAATACAAATTAAAATGATAAATCGCTTAATTTTTTAAATTTAAATTAATAAAAAAAGTAAATGTTAAATAATGCTATTTTAACTAATATTTTTAAATCAAAAGTATTGACAACTGATAAATGTATTAATTAAAAATATAATTTATATTAAATTGATTTTTTTTTTCTTCAGATTTTATAGAAAATGGAATGATTTAATATAGTAATATAAAAACATAAATTGACATAGAATAAACTAAAGAAAAGCAAGAAAAATAAATTATTTAAAATAATAAAAATAGCGAATAAAATCTTGACTAATTTTTTTAAAGAAAAATAAATAAATAATTAGTTAAATGTGAAAAGAAAAATTAAACATTATAATATGAATAGTAATATTTCATATATATGAATAATTTAATTAGAAATATTTATTTAATAAAAAGTGTTTAATATGGAATTATTAATGTTGCAAAAGATGAAAAGTTTGATAAAGACGAATTCTAAAATGCAAAAAAATTACTTAAATTTTCAAGAAATAAAAAAAGCTAATTTAAATCTAAACAAAAAAAATTTAACCTTCAAATAGAATTATGACAAATAATCTCGTTAATTAAGAAATAGAAGTATACAATTAATTATTTTTTTTAAAAAAAATAAAAAATATTTATTTTAATAGAATTATGAATATTATATTAAGTCAAAATAATTTATAAGCGAACTTTCTAAAAATAGAAAAGGTAATAATATATTTAAAAAAATTATTAAAAATATTAAATTTATATGTTTTTGTATAATTCTATTAGAAATACAAAGCGAAATTATAGCTAAAAACCTTGTTACTGATGAAGAGTTAAAATAAAAAGAATAAAAAAAATAACAATCTATTGTTAAAAAAATTAAAGATGCTAATTCAGAGCTTAAAATTATAAACTAAAATTATGATTAAAAAATATTGATATTTAATACCTTAAAGATTTTTCAAAAAAAGTAAAATAAAATAAAATAAATGTTTATAAAACTATATATTTAATATAAAGGGGATTAATAATGAAATAGAAATTTTAGATAATGAAATAAAAGATTAATAATAGTAAATGTTTAGACTTTAAAGACCTAAAGAATTTAGAAACGTAGAAAATAGTTAAACTGTTTCTTTTGCAATTTAAAAACAGTTATTTAATTTAAAAAATTTATAATTATAAATTTATATAAAAAATGAATATTTATTTTTTTAATAATTAAAAGAAAATTCTTTTTATAAGAATATTAATCTATTAGTAGCAGTACTAAAAACATATCAACTAAAAAAGAAAATAAAAAAGAATTATCTGCTTCAACATTTTTAGACACAACTTCTTAAGTCGTATAAAATAAATAGGAAAAAATAAAAAATAAATATGAAAATTAAATATAAATTATACCTAATTAATAAAAATCAAAAATACCCGTCAATAAAAAAATATAAAAATTATTAAGATTACAAACTTATGATTTATCAGATGATTATTAATTTTTAAATAAAATATGAACATAAAAAAATATTTAATAATATAAAATAACATAAAAATATATAAATTTTTGTTTTTTATTTTTATAAATTTAAATTTATATTTAATTTAATAAAATTTAGATATATTATATATTTTATATAAATTATAAAAAAAATATCATAATAAATACTATTTTTAACGTAATGGATTAATCAAGTGAATAACAAAAGCCATAAAGGGCATAAAGAAAGCCAAAGCCTTATTTTAAGGATTATTCATCAATCGATAAAATATCTACAAGTAGCTAATTTAAATAAAAGAGGTAGTATACAAAACGTTCCAAAGAACCTTAAAAAAATGATTAATCAAGTGTTTCTATTTAGAATAAAGAAGACAATTCTAATTTAAAAGTTAAAAAAAATAATTTTATTGTAGATATGTTATCAAATTATGGAGCAAATTACTTGAAAAATCCTCCAAAATTAGATGAACCTAAAAAAAAAGTACTTCTAATATAAGAAAACGAATGGGAATAATTATAAGAAAGAAAAAAAAATATTTTGATTTAGTTTAAAATTTTCCCTATCTAAAATAAGAAAACTGATTTAAATTTTACTTTATTTACTTAAAACAATAGAAAAAAAAAAAAAAAATGATTAATAAATTTTGTTATTTTTCAAAATAAATATTTGTAAATATTTTTTGTAAAAAATAATTAAAATAATAATTAAATATATACATATTTTATATAAAAATAATTCTGAAATTATTAAAAATTATTAAAATTTATGATACATTTTATTTTTGTATTAACTTTATTTATATTTTATTTATTTATTAAAAAATAATTTTTTTAATTTAATGAGTAATAATATAGATTTAATTAATCTGAAACATCAAAAATATTTATAACAGCGAAATAAATATTTATTAAGAAATTTTTCTTTAAACTATACTAAAGTTAATAATTTAAAAAAAGTTAAAGACTTTGTACTTGATTGTACAAAAAAAAATATTAAATTAGAATAATATAATGCTTTTTCTGATAAAAATTTAAACTAATTTTTTAGAATAAAAAGAAATTGAAATTAATAGAAAAAATAGGATTAGTATAAAAATAAAATACAAGTTTATTATAATAAACAATTAAATACTATAATATATTCAAATTTCAAATATTTTTATAATTTAAAATCTTTTTGTTGTCAATTTTTTTTTTTTTTTTTTTTTTTTTTTTCAAATAGATTTAAAGCTATTAATAATCATAAAATTACTTACATATTGTTGAAAATAACCCTGGAAGCAATAATTGTTAATTTAAAAACGATGAATTTATTTAACTATAAAAAAATAAATTAATTTAAAGCGATAATTAAAAAAAAGCAGTACAAAAACTTCCTGATTTAAATATAAATACGAATAAAACTGTTAAAAAAAATTAATTACCATTAAAACGACAATAAAGTAAGAGCAATTATTTAGAAATTTAAAATGATAAATAAAATTCTTAATATGTTTCAAAAGAAGATTTTTAAAATCTTTTAAAGTCTTATAGACAAAATTTAAATTATTAAAAATGATTTTGATGGAATTAAAAAAAAATATATTAAATTTATTTAGGAAATTACATTTTTTTTGATTTATATATTCTTATCCTTAAATTAATAATTTAAAAGATTTTAATATTGTAAAATTTATATGATATAAATATTATTAATTTTATAATGAAAAATATATTTAATAATATAAAATTTATTATAAAATAAATATTTTTATATTGGAATATTCAATATATGAATATATAAGACTATTATATTATATGATAAATATATTTAAATTAGAAAATAAAATAAAAGTTAAAAATAAAACATAAAACATTTTATTTATGAATAAATTTTGCAAAATAATTAAAAAAAAAAAAATTAATACAAAATAATCAAATATTATTATAAAAATAATATCCATATTTTATATAAATTTCAAATTAATATAATCTTTTTATTCGAAAATATTATCATAATAGAATAATTACTATTTTGAATATTCATATTTAAAAATTATTCATTTAAAAATATTATAATCTAAATTTATATTACTTAAAATTATAGGATTGAAACATATTTAATTTAAATAAAACTAATCTTAAAATTAATAGACTATAAAATGTATATTATATTATTTTTAATATCTAAATAATAATAAAAGTATCTAAATTTAGATAATTATATATAAAAATCTATATTATATATTATAAAGATATATATTTTATATGCCTACTTAATTAATATTAGTAAGCTTTATTATTTTAAATTTTTTAGATATATTTAAAGAATTAAACAAAATGAATGTATATATATTATTTTTGTTTTTTGTAAAATTTATATTTTTATTTTTATTTCATTTTATTTTTAAATTAATTATGTTTTTAATAAGTAAATATTTTTCAATATTTATTAATAATAAAATCTATTAAATATTAAATATTTAGTTAATTATAAAATAAAAAAGAACTTAATAAATAAAAACTATTTAATATTTTTTATTTAATTATTATCAATTGTTGATTAATTTAATAAATACATAAATAATTTAATTATATTTTATTTTTAATTTATTTTATTTTTAATAATTTAATTATATGCTTATAGATATTTAGTTTTTAATTAAAATAGATATAAATAAAATTAATTATTATTATATATATTTAAGAAATAATAAAAATAATCATTAAATAAAAATAAATATAAATAAAATATTAAAATTAATAAATATGTATAAATATAAATATTATAAATATATAAAATTAATTATCTAAATTTTATATAAATATTTATTTATTTTACTATCTTTTCATTATTGCAAAGAAAAAAATTATTTATTTTTTTTAAAAAAAAAGATAATATCAATAAATTATATAATAAAAAATAAAATAAAAATGATATTAGAAAATACAGAGTCTTAAAAAAAAGAAGAATATATAAAAAAATAACTATATAAAAAAAATTCTACATATTTAAAATGTAAAAATCACTTAAATAATCCTGCCACAAAAATTTGTTTACACGCAGGTTGTTCTTTAACACGTGAAATATGTGATTCTTGTTATGATGATATGCCTCATATAGATCATCAGGATGAAGTAGTAAATTTGATTGATTTTAAGTTAAATACAAAAAAAGTATTAAAAGAAACAAAAGAAAACTCATGTTTAATAAAGGCAGTATAAATTATAGAGTAAGTACGTATTTTTATAGTTACACATTTTTAAAGTATGTATAATATGATAATGGAGAAATCTCCTCATATATTAAAACTTTAATAATTAATTGAAGATGTAAAATATTTGGAAGAAATGGAAACTTTTGAAATTGAAAAATTTGTCAGAGAAATAATGAATGTGTACAAATTAAATGATGAAAAGTAATTAGAGTTAATAGGAGGAGGTAATAATAATTAAGACGATTTTATGAATACATAGCAACTGTAAGAATTTTAAAATAGTTTAACAAATGTCGAAAAGTAAATTTTACAAATACATGATGATTTTGCAAAAAGTTTAAATTTTAATATTAATTAATAATAGTTTTAACCTGATTCGTTTGCATTAATCGAGAATAATAATTCAATATTAAATTCTTCTTTTTTAAAAAGACCAAGAGGTCGTCCAAAAGGAAATGGACAATTAAAAAATAAATAAAGATATAAAGGAAAATATTCAGAAGAAGAAAAGTTAAATATATTAAATGAGGTAACAAAATGCAAAAGTGTTTAAAAAATTTCAGAATAATATGGAGTATAAAATTCTTTAATAAGATATTGGGCAAAATAATTAAATTATTAATTAAGCCCTTAGACAATTTTATAAAGAAAAAAATATAGAACTTTTGATAAATAAGCCAAAGAAAAAATTATACAAGAGGCCCTTAGAAGAAGAGATATTATAATTGTAGCACACGAAAATAATGTTAATGTTTAAGTTTTAAAAAGATGGATTTTAAAAATTACAAGTGGTAAGTAAAATTATAATAGTTATAAATAAATGATTGATGCAGTTAAAGATGAAGATGGAAGTTAAAATTATAGTATTGATAATGAAGAAGAGGAAAGTTTTAATAGCGAAGATATGTAAATTCAAGAAAAATTAAAATAAAAATAATAATAAGATGAAAAAAAATAATAGTAAATACCATAATTAATAATAATAATAATAATAATAATAATAATAATAATAATAGTAGTCATAATAATTGATACAATAATAACTATTTAAATAAAATTAATAATAGTAAGCCGCCAACAAATAATTATTAAATTAAAAAGTTGAAATTAATAGTAATAAGGAATATGAATTAAATGAATAAAATATTAAAAATAGTTTTAACTTAGAATTTCTTAAAAATATTGATTTTAATAATTTGGATAATTAACAAAGTGTTAAATAAATTTTACAAT